TTATTTCCTCTGGAGTTGCCAATAACAAGTAATGTTTAGTATAATGCAATGCACCACAATATTCATAGGTCGATTCAATTTCCCATAAACAATACATTTGATAGTTAGTCCTTCCAAAAATTCATCCTTATCAAATACAACAAGCTGATCATATCTCCACTTTTAAGTTCTTGTCTAAATAGGAATTCTCCAAAGAGCAGTTCACCTTCATTTAAGTTGGGATCAATCATTGTGAATTTTTGACTGCTTGTTATTTTTTTTAATTCCCTATTAATGGAGCAAACAAAAACAAGTAGATCAATTGAAAAAAGAAAAATCAAATAAAGCCGAGAAATAGTTAAAATCAATATTAAATAAAAATAATCCTCGACGATGACGCTAAAAACTTATGGTTGATTTTCATATTCCATAAATGTACAAATAGTAACGAGTAATCAAATGGACCTAAAAGTCCGAATATCATTCTCACGAGGATTACTATTTAACAATTAGTTCAATTATTTCTAATTTTAATTTGATCGAAAACAAATAATGAGTTTTGTGACTCGTGTCTAAATTATTCTAATTAGACTAAATTATCTACCATACACAACTTATCGAATTTGGATTTTAAAGTATGAAATATGGATGCTAGGACTTACAATTTTATCTATGGATCCCCTTTAATTCACAAATCAAGATTCATTATAATTGTAGTATTTGGTCGAATTCTTCTAAAGTATTCAATTTACCCTCCTCGAGTTCTCATTTAATCTATTTAACTAATTCAATCCCATATCTTTATGTGAATCAATTTTAGTTGAACAAAATATTAGTTGTAAGAATTAATTTAACGACCACAATAATTAGTTTGGTATCTCTACACATTATAATAAATTATCCTCTCGATTCATAAAAAATCACAAAATCATCAAATTAGTGTGATCAAGTAATTCAATGTATTAAATTCATAGCAAAATGAACACATGTAAGATAAAAGAACTAGAATCTTGAATAAAAACATAAAGGGTCCAAGTAGGTTACATTGTTTATCCTAATATTAAATTTAGTTACTCATAATAACTGAATAAAAATACAAAGTAAATTTTGAATATGTCACCAGATTTTTTTGAAGAAATATGTAGGAAAATAAATTAATCTTGCTCCAAGACCTTCCTCTTCCAATCAATGTTTTAAAAGTTGAATCTATTGATTTTTTCTTCCTTGAATTGCTTTTCAGTCTCTAGTTGTATATTTTGTCTCTCAATGTGTGGAATCCCCCCCAAAAGTTTCAAAAAGTTGTTTTTATAGTTGTCCTCACGATTTTTTGTTGTTGCAGATTTTTAAAGGGCTTTAAAAAGGTTGAAATTTATGCCCTAGGTAAGCAGGTGGCGCCTAGGCCCCACTATGTGGTGATGCGGCATCGTGAGGACAGATCGTGGGTGCCGCGACCCCACCTTTCGTGTGATGATCAGCACTACACTTTCTTTAATAAATGACTTTCAACATAATATATTTCACGAAGATTTATATAAATAAATAAATTATCATGTGATGGATACATGCACAAGTCTTTACCTTATTATCATGACAATTCATGAATTTTGATATGTATATAATAGATGGTATTATAGTAAACTCATCAGGCACGACTTTAACTCTATATTTGAAGGATTTAATGCTTGAAACATATAATTCAAGTGATATTAGCATGAAAGGGGTAAATACACGTTGTATTATCTTTTTTCTCGATCAAGGTTTTGTCTCATTGATTTTTCTATAAGTTTTTAACGAGACAATTTTTGTAAAGTACTCGAAAGTATAATACACTTCTTTTTTTTCCTTATTAGGATTTTTTCCAATAAATGGAATGGTCAGTAGCTGCCAAATCTCATCCACCATAAAACTCTCCTTGTACTGCATTTTTTTCATAGAAAAGAAGAAGAAGAAGAAGGGGGTTGATTTAGGCTCCTTCTCTTCCATTGTATATATGTGCTAGCAGGTAACGAGCTATTTGTCCCACATATCTAACCAGCTTGCTGGGGTTCATGGTTCTACCGAAAACTCTCATTTGTTAAAGTGATGAATCATATTCTTTGTATAATGAATGTTCACAACTTATATGGCATTGTGTACGATTTTCTAAGAGAATAACAACAAAATCTACTTTTCAATAGACCATCGTACCGGCTAAAATCAATGGGAGTAGATGTAATTTTTTTCCTTGCTCAAGTCTTATCTCATCAGATTTTCTTGACAATGTATGAAAATCTTGTATGAAGACAATATTGTTTGAAAGCTACAGCAAGACTATAATGAAAAAAAAAATTCACAAGAATTGTTTTCATTTCTTGAAATCAAGGGGAGTAGACATACTTTTTTTTTCTCGCTCAAGTTTTGTTTCATTAGATTTTCTTTACAATGTTCTAACGACATTCCCCCCCTTTTATTTGTACTTTTTCCTTCGTTTGATATTTTTAAGAGTGGGGGCGGTCCAGTTTGGTCCAATTCCAAAGTGAACCAAACCTAACAAAATAACAATGGAAATTTTAGAAATGGAACCATTAGTTCATAGTTAGCTATGGAACTGAACCGGACCAATTGGTTACGGTTCGGTCCAATTTTTTACATTGAAAATGTCAAAATAAAATGTTCATTAATAAAAAATAAAAAGATGCTACCAACGTGATATTTTTAACAAAATATAGAAGAACCAAACATATTATTCAAAGATTATAAGAAAACTAAGTATAAAAATTTAAAAATAATATCCAAATAAAATAAGTTACTATCATCAAACAATCATCAACTTATATAGATGGCATAGTACTTCAATGATTAAACAAACTTCCATCAAAATCAAAATCCTACATTGAATTGGACATCCTTTAAAAATTTATTGCAACTTTTGATTCTGTCGGTTATAATTTGTAGAAATCTAGATGAAAAGTTTCGATTGGATCAACAACCATGTAATCAAAGTGAAAACAAAATAAAAATTTCGCATCTTAGAAATGAAATTATATATTGTAAATAAATTTATTTTGGTATAGATTATACCCAATATTCTAATTTGGCTTGAGAATTAATTAATCAAAGAATTATAAGAAAAGAGAATGAAATCAAAGAAAAGAAAAGTGCTCGAATCTAAAATAAAGAAGGAATCCGATTATTTTTAGTAAAAGTGATTGGAGATTGAGTTATATATTTTTATCAAAAAAATAAAAAATCCTATAAGAACTGTCTGCTTCCCAGGAGTTCCCATACAAGAATCGGTAGGGATGGCAATCGGACTCGCCGGCTCGGCTCGGCTCTAAAAAAGCCCGAGCCGGCTCGGCTCGGCTCGAAAAAAGCCCGAGCCGGCTCGGCTCGGGGCTCGGTAGACCCGAGCCTAGGCTCGGGCCGAGCCCCATTTTGGGTACACGGGCTTTGACCGAGCCGGCCCGTGAGCTCGCAAGATTTAAAAAAAAAAAAAAAAAATTTATCAAATGAAGC